GACTGTGGACATGGTGGGGAAACCATTGGGCCTCCTTCGTGGGTGACCTGCTCCCATGGAATGAACAGTGGGCACTCCACAGCAAGATTCCCCCCTGCTGGTTCAAACACGTGGGCCGAGGATACGTGGCCCAAACGATCTGATCGATCCTCCTTTGGATCATATGGGAAGTCTTAGACTAGCAGCGATAACACTCGCCGGTCAACTTGTTATCTTCCCCTGGCCTGGTACTTAGGGCGTGGTACTTACTAGGTCTCTCTCTCAATCCACAGTCTTCCCTTAACATCTTCCCAACCTTCTCTGATCTTCATTCTTGTCCTCCCTCCTTCTTTCCTCCGTCCTTCTCTTCTCCCTCCTCTTCTCTTCCCCAATTAGTAGTTATAGTAGGATGTTTGCAGTAGTTGTAGATGCAGTATTGGTAGACGTAGCTACAGTACAGTAGATAGTACCATTAGCTATAGGGACTGTTAAACCAGGACACTCAGTCGGTTAGAGCCACAGTAGGCTAGATGCAGCTGATAGACAGAAGGGAGGAGGGAGGAGAGTGTCGCTCCCAGCAGGGGAGTTCGGTGTAACCGACTCCAACCAGCCGCCTTAAGGCTGGTTATCAGGCCGTTCATAGGCCTGTGCATTTGGTTCATCCCCATCCCCATCCTACCCCCCTCCCCACGCCCTTCGTTTCCCTCTGATACTCATTTCCCCCATCTCCCTACCCCCATCTCCAACTTTCCTCCCCTCCTTTGAACTCCCCTCATTGCTAAACCCCCTCTTTCTATTGCTCCCTTTCTTCCTATGCTCCCTTTCTACCTAGTGACCCCCCCTCTTGTTCACCTACTTCTCATTTCCAACCTCTTTCTCTTACTACACCCCTTGTCACCCAGCCGACTCAATCCTTCTGTACCCCATTCTCTTCACTCTACACCACCTTCTTCTCCCTTCCTTCCTTCCCCTTCTTCCCTATTTCCCTCCCCTCCCCCCAATCCTACTTCTTGACAATTCGGACTGTATCCACAGCGTAACTCCTCTCCCTTTCATACTAGAGCAGACTGAGCATAGCTTCAGGTATTCAATCTTTTATCATCTTGATGACTTCCGGTCCTAGCGTAAGCATGCCCCTAGTCGGGGAAGCACCAGATTCAAATATAAAGGTGCTCACCACACCACTGTAGCAAGCCTCAAATTTTATGTGGCTGTAGGAAGATTTTGTTCTTCCCCGCCCCCTTTCAACAGCCTCCTTTTCTATAGTTTTCATTGGCTGTTGGAATAACTTCAATAGCCTCCTTTTGGACAGTTCACCCCCGTTGCACAGACAAACTCAGGAATGCAATTCCTGAAAGGGAAAATTTTTGAAACGTCCCTCCTACTTCCACGTATTTGCGGTATGCCTCTCCGACGGTTGACTTACCCTGTCGTGCCTATGGGGCCTCTGAAGTTTCCTGCAGGCCCCTGTAAATGAAGGGTGCACCTTTCCAGCATGCCCCTGTGGCCGTTGGCAGCACTCGCGGCCGTTCTCCTGACCCTGGGCTGGGAGCTACCTGGGCATTTACTGGAAATTTAGAACGGGTACGGGTAGGGGCATATTGAACATATTTCAGGCCCAAATGACGCCAGGGGTTTTCCAAAAACTCCAATGATGTCAGAGGCGCACGACAGGCCCTGGGTTAATTGGCCGGGAGAGGGGCATATTGCAAATAAATGAAAGTTGCCAAGGCATGTCAGAATTTTTCCTTCCAGAAAACACAAAACCCCTGAAGATTGGACAAGCATTTTGTCCACCCCAACCTCAGGCCCGATCACTAAATTTGAAGGAGATTCGAACGAAAAGTGGACAGGGAGGCGGACCACAGATGAAAATGGATCCCGCTGTGACGCCCAAACCTCACGCCCAGCGCGACTTCCTGATCGGAGTAGGATGTGGGCCTGGAAGTGTGAAAGGGGGTGTGCCAAGGATTTTTGGGAAAGTCGGGGTGGAGTCTCAGGTCAGAACTGAGATCTCCTGTGGCAGAGTTTTTCGGGGGCACGAGTGCAATTTGGCGGAGAGAGCGGACCGCCCCTGGTCATAGAACAGATGGTATGCGCGGGTCATTCAAGGCCGGGCGAGCCATTGGTGCCGAGGACGACGGTTCGCCGGAAGGTCCCTTCGGGGTGGGTGTGGTCCTAAGTGGGGAAATCCGAGCACCGAGGGTCGCTACTGGTGGCGCAGTGAAACTCCCTAGGACACAGTCGATTCTCTGTTAGGCAAGGGTATCTATGTCGGAGGCTTTCCGCTATCCACGGGGTAAAATAGTCTGGATCATACAACAACGACTCCGAGCTCTCTGAGTGAGTCATTATATCATCGCAGAGCTGCGAGATGTCTAAGGCCAGGTTTGTGCCGATGGCGGTCACCGCGTGCGAGCACGTGCAGGCTGCGCGAATCAAGTCGCGCTTACGCGTGTTCGCACGGGACGGCTGCTCCGACGTAGACCCTGGATGGTTGTATCCAATCAGACAGTACTTCTGCAATTGTCGAATCGACGCACGGAGACACATGTAAAGGCGCAAATCAGGTCGCGATTACACGCGTCTTCGCGCGACATTCGCTGGACCAAGCATTCGAATGTCTAATCACTCCGTAATTTCCGAGCATGCAAGATGCAACAACCACAACAGCTCCATCAAGAGATAGGCGAAAACGAGAACAGGGTTACCGGTTGCACAAAATTCCTATCCTACTCATGAGTGCATCAAAGGCAGTAATCAAAGGCAAAGGCAAGGATCCGGTAGAAAGACAAGCAACCAAACATGGCATCCATACATCCATTCATTCAGCAATACACACACAGTGCATCTGAGATGGAAATCGCAAGACAAGTGTAAGCAAAAACCCAAGTCCAGATTCCGAAAAACAAAAACGAGCAAATCACCCGGAGCCGAAATCAAAATTGATGTACACGAGACAGGAGGGAGAAAAGATAAAAGAAACAGCAAATCCACGTCCATCAACCTCAGCTCTCTCTTCCTCCCTCTCTCTCTATCCGATGCGAACAGTCCGTCGCCGCGCACCAACCCATGAAGTCGTCACCCCGCTTAGTCCTCCCGCACCCGTCAGGTTTGCCCGCGCCCACAGTCCGTCGTGGCCCGCGTCAACCCCGCGCGTTTGGCACCAGCTCGTCGGGTCGCCCGACTCCTGCTCTACTCACCTCTTACTTTGCTCGTGTGCCGACCCTCTCTGATCGCGCAACCCCGAGCTTCCAACAGCTGGCTAAGAGAGCTAACTAATCGCGCAGCTGAAATTTATAGCGTGCATGCATGCGTGAGGAACACGGAATTACCAAGACTTAGAAGGAGAGGTGGGGAGGGATTGTCTACGTCTGCATGGCCTGAACGTGGCGTGGGGGATGTAGCCGTTCTCCACGCATCGATCCGGTTATGCAAACCGCGACTACCAAAAACACAGCAATAGAAAGAGGAGAGGGGCGGGAAGGATGAAGCACAAAAAGAAAGATATCGTTACAATGGCGCTAATCCAAAATCAGAGTTACACACCCGATTAAAGACGCCGACTAATCAAAATTACGTTGCAGCCGCATAAAGAAGCGCGTAACCAAACGGCGTCGCGCGGCAAAAGAAAGTCCTAATTACAAAATTCATAAATTCCTATCTAATACAAAAAAGCAAAAAGCACAAGTTTCAGAAAGAAAGTCCGAAATTCCGAGAGCCAACGGGGCTCGACAAGATTCAAAAAAAGATTCGAAGAATAATTCAAAAAGGAATTTTCAAAAAGAACGAAGCAAAAATTCCAGCGCGATGTCCACGCCTAAAGGTTCTGAAACCGAAACAAAAAAAACGACGTCAACATTTATTATTCGCGCGCTCGGCGGCGCGCCATCCATCCACCCGACCAATCAATCGCCCATCCCGGGACACACCCAGCTCTTAACTCAGCCATCCGAAAAGAATCGATGCAAAAAGACGAAGAAGCGAGGGTCCAGATGCAATTTCCCACCGATCCCGATCTCCCGTAATTGGCCCAACCTTCCCAGCTTAGGACCCCTCATTGCAATCGCGCAGAAAGTCGCGCGCTACAGAAAGTGGTTCGTCACATATGTGACGCCCAGGGGGTTCCAATATTAGCAAGTTCCTGCTTGCTTGTTGACATGTGTCGATTTCTCTAATCGATCAACACACGAAGCTCTTCTCTCTATGCCACTTACCGTTCGAAGGAGTGTGGACGTCGTCCAATGTGGCAACACAACTCTACTACTAATTCCTCAGGGAGGGCCATTGACAATCCAAGGAGGGGATTTCACGTGTCGTGTTCATGACGCGTGCCCATCAGTCATACATCAGCGAGCGTCGGGGAGGGGAAAGGGGAGAAGGTACATGGAGGGATGGCAAGGTGGAGGGTTGATTGGTAGCGGGGGAAGGAAGCTCTCCATTCCGTGCATCGTCTCCAGAAGTTCCTGATAGCGAACGCCAGTGTGGGGGAGGGACGCGAGGTAGTCCGGGTAAAAGGTGGTAAAGGTTCAGAAAAGCGCCGCGCGGAAGTGGTCGTGGTTCTCGCATGCGGGGATAGTCCCCGTAATCATGCAGTATACCTCGATCATATTGTGGCCTCGCCACGCGGCACTAAGCAAAAGGATATGGAGGCAGAAGACAGGGAGGGCGCATCGGGTGGAAGGGTGGGGATGAACAGTGACAGCGAGGGGGGTAGTGTAGAAAAAGCGGAAGGTATCGATGGGGAAGGGATTGTCGGGGAAGGTGACGCGAGTGGTAATTTGGCGGAAAGCGAGGTGGTCAAGGGGATGGTGGGATAATGACCGGGGACGAAGCCCGATGCCCTGCATCGGTACGTGGACGAGTTGCTGGGTGGTCGAGGGCGGAGGGGGAGGGGGATTGGCTTCGTCGCCGTCTTGCTGGTGCGGTCGAAGTCTCGACAGCTGGGTCCCCATCCTCGGGCTTAGATGGCCGTGGATCTTGGGCCGGATCGTCAGTGTGCGGCTGATCGGCTGCGCTGGCGAATTCCAGCTGTCGCTTCCCGGCCGCCATCTCTTCCCTCTTGTGCGCCTAGGCTTGCGCCCGAGCGTCGTCACGCACTTCCTCCTCAAATCCTTCCCACTCCGATTCTTCTAGCTCCTCCTGGTCTTCTTCTTTTTCCTCCTCGTCGTCTTGTTCTTCTTCCTCCTCCTCCTCCTCACTTTGCTCCCCTTCGCTGTGCTCACTGTAACTCCCCTCTTCGGGAGTTTCTTCCTCGTCGGCCTCTTCTTCCACTTCTTCTTCTTCCTCTGAGCTTTCCTCTTCTGCTTCAATCTCTACCTCTTCGTTCTCGGAGGCCGTCCGATATTGAAAGAAGGCGAGATCGACTATCTCGTGCGGGTCTAGATAACCGCGCTGTGACGGTGGGTTGCGGCTGCTTTCGGGCGCCTCCAAACACGCCGACCACTATAGGTATAGCGCCAATGTCCGCGTGAGAATGTGCGGGACTGGGCTGTCGTCGCTCTGCGAGATGATCTCAAGTGGGAGATCATCGGCCAGCTGCGCAAGGGGGACCGTTAGCTCTTGCACGATTGTTTGGCGATGATCGGGCTGCAACGATCCGAAGAGGAATCCGAGCAGATCGCCCTCCACTCCCGTTTGCCACGCCTGGATGACAAGCAGCTTAAGGTACTCAGCCCACTGGCGGATATTCTCATGCTGCGTCCACGTGACCTTTCCTCCGACCAGACACACCAACAGCTCGACGAAGTGTTCTCGCCAACGCCTCCACTGCTGGGGATTGAGGAGGGAGACAACGAGTGATTCCAGACAAAAGGAGAGGTGCGGATGGACTCCGCACTGCCAGAAGGTAGGAAAGAAGGAGGGGAGGTCGAAAGTGGAGATTGGGGATAGGTTAATTGAGGACGGGGGAAGGGGATGAGTTCAGGGAGCACCACCGCCGGCTCGTGCTGAAAAGCTCAGATCCCGTCGAGGTCCACGCCGTCCGTGGGGAAAAGATTATCGTCGTGGGGCGTGACCCAGCGATTCCACTCGGACGCCAATTGTTGCGCCCACAGCCGAAGCATTGTCTTGATAGTTGTATGCCGCAGCGGGCTGATGGTGTTGATGTCCCCACTGAAGGCGACCACCGTAGACACGTGGCTGATTCCGAGAGCTGATCGCCGATGAACCACTACCGCCTCCGCCAAAACAACCGTCCAGGGACTGCCTGCAAAGCGAAACTCAGCGGTTGCGTACACTCCCTGAGTACAGAAGAACTGCGCAAGTCGCCGAAGGTCCGGGCTGAGCCGCGGATGATGAACTTGTCGGATCGCCGAAATGTAGCACCGTGGTACCAGCAGAGAGTCGCTAGGAGCTCGCTCCGCCAGAAAACTCATGGCGATGGTGACGGGAACGGAGTAACCGAACCAGGAGGAGACGGAGAAAGAGGCGATAAGCAGTCGTCATCCTCTTCCGCAGTGGAGGAGGAATTAGATGAAGGCGAAGATGGGGAAGAAGGAAGGGGACGAAGGTAGGACATGTGGCGGATGATCGGACGAGCCGATCGGCTGCCGGAGACCTCAGGCGCAAGCCGCACGGTGTTCACGCCCGTTCGGTCCGAGCTCAATCACGCGGAATCGCCCGAAGAATCAAGGCGCTAGCTTACCCTGGCGAGCACATTTCCTCACGTGCACGATGTCCCCCAATTTGTACTGGGCCCGTGGACCTGCGTTCCCGTTCCGGGCCTCGTAGCTTCAGACCTGGCGGCCGTGGGCAAACTCGGTCATTTTCTGGCGTTTTCGGGCTAGCCTGGGAAGGGACCGTTCCATTAACTCTGAGTGCCGCTTGGCCTTGTCTCGTGCCGTGGCCCTTGTGGGCCGGCAGTTGAGCGTTGATTCATCAGAGAGGCTTGATATCGAAACGCAAGCGACGCTATTGGTCCTTAACTGGAAGGGGCTCAAGCCCGTCGATTCATGGGGCGTTCCGCGATGGACCGCTAGGATGTGGTTGACGATATCAGGTCAGGGCCTCGGATCCCGTGCCGCGATGTTTCGTCGCAGCGCTGTCTTTATCACCCTATGTGCGTTTTCTACTAGCCCATTGGATTGTGACATATGGGGCGCGGTATTTCGCACAGGGACACCGTGTATGACCAGGTTCCTTAATACTTCCCCTCTGAATTCTGCCCCGTTATCGGTCAGGATTTCTTCTGTATCCTGGTGCGTCCCGAGAAAACGGTTAACATACCTCGCGATTTTGGCGGCTTGTCGCGTGCGACATGGGTAGGCCTCGATCCATTTCAAAAAGTGGTCGACAAATACCAACAGGACTGAATATTCACAACTATTAGGACCAGGGGGTACCACGATATCGGTAGTATCCATACTCACCGTTTGGAACGGTCGCTCAACTACCGTTGGTACTATCGATCTTGGCGGCTGGATCGACGCCTTGTCAGCAGCGCAGACTTGACAGTTTGCGACGATGAATTTCACATCGTCCCGAATATTGGACCAATACCATTCGTTTTTGTCGATTGCCGACTCCGTAATCCGTACGGCAAAATGGGCAGCCGTTTCTTCGTGTGCTGTCTTCACCCAGTCGTACCTCATGAACGGATGCGGTACAACCATCCAAATCCCACTGCCGTCTGTTTTCCGTTTTTCTAACCTACCCTCTATCCATCGGTAATCCCAAGCCCTTTCATTAGCCCTCCTCCGATATTCCTTCGTGAAATCCTGGAGGGGGTTACCCACTAAGGTGGTAATCAAAGCGATGTCGGACCATACTTCAACCCTTCTAAACTTCCGGATCTTCTCCAATCCTTCTGACGTCGCCTCGAAAAAGCGAGCCTCGGTCGGGATCTTGTCAACCCGACACAAGGGGCATAGCCATGGTTTACTATCATTTCGATATTGGATGCACGAGCCATGGGCTCGTGCGACACACTGTCGACAATCTACCCATTCCACATAGCCTTCCCCATTAGGACGCATGGAGACTGAATATACGCGAGAAATTGCTTCGCAAAAATAAAAAAAAATTATCTGGCAGGGAGAGAAGAGATGAAGAGGAAATGGGAGAAAGAGGGGTAGTGAGGTTACCTCCGTCACCCATTGCCACCGGTCTGCTTTTTGCCACGTGGGAGAACTGCCACTTGTCCGTACTGAGGCCCGTTTGCCGGTTCTGACTCCTTCCACGGAGTGATTTCCTCGCCCTTAGGTACTTTAGCGGGCCGATGCAGACGTGTCAGTCCGTCCGCGTTGCCGTGTCTTTCTGTCTTCCGGTGGATGATGTCGAAGTCGTACTCCTGTAGACGTACCGCCCAATGCCCAATCATGCCTGTGTAATTAGTGAGCTTTTTCAAGGCCAACAGGGGCTCATGATCCGTCACGAGGCGGAACTTCTGCCTATAGAGATATGGATGGAAGTGCTGGGTTTCCCAGACTACTACATAGCATTCGCCTTGGGGTGCTGAGTCATTCCTCCGTTCGTCTGACACCATTCGCGACGCGTACTCGATCACGTGTTCGCGACCATCGTTCCCCTTCTGCGCTAAAATAGTGGAAATAGCTTTCGGTTGCCAGTCCGTGATAAGAATGAACCGTTTCGAGGGGTCCGGTCGGATCAAAATAGGTGCCATCACCAGAGCGTCTTCGAGGGTCGCGAAGGCCTCACCCTCCGCATCCCAACTGAGACGCTGGTCTTTTCGTAACACGTTCGTTAGTGGCCGTGCAATCGCGGCGAAGCCTTTGATGAAACGGCGATAGTACGATGCCAACCCCAAGAAGGCTCGAACCTGCGTCAGCGACGTGGGAACTGGAGCTTCTCTCACCGCCACGACCTTTCTCGAGTCAGGCCACAATCCTCCACGCGTCACGATGTAACCCTGGAACGAAATTTTCGAAAGGAAAAATTCGCTCTTTTCGAGTGTGATCTAGAATCCAGCGTCCCTCAGCGCTCCCAACGTCCACTCAATGTGTTGTGCATGTCCGTGATAGGTCTCCGAGCAGACAAGGATGTCGTCCATGTATACGATCACGCAGAAGTTGATCATTCCGTGAGTTAGCCGTGTCTTGTTGACGAAATTCTGGAACGTCATGTTCATCGCTCGTTAAAACATAGCAGGCGCGTTGCAAATCCCCATCGGACACCGAACCCACTGCCACGTGCCCTCAAACAACACGAAGGCCGTGTTTGGCCGATCTTCCTCCTTAACCAGAATGTGATGAAAGTCATGCCGAATATCAAACTTACTAAAACAATTAACACATTCAATCGCATCCAGCAAATCATCAATCCGGGGGAGGGGATACACATCTTTAATCGTGATTTCATTTAGTTTGCGATAATCGATGCATATGCGGATTGATTCGTTTTTCTTCGGCACTAATACTACGGGAAACGACCATGGTCCAGTGGCGGGTTCGATCCACCTGCTTGCTTCAAATTCCCGAATTCGGTCGAGAGTCTTTTTCCGTTCTATCAGGGAGTATCGATAGGGCGTGCAGTGGATTGGGGAATGATTTCTCTTCTGAATTTCGTGTTGAATAACCAACGGCAAGCCAATGTCAGTGTCTATTATGTTAATCGCTCTCTGATACTCCGTCAAAATGTCCGCAATCAAACGATGAATCTCATCAGGTACGTACTGTGGCACGTGTAACTCAAAAAGTTGGTCCCAGATCCGTACGTCGATCTGCTTCATGAGTGCTTGTTTCGCCACACCAGGTGGTGGCGCAGAGATAAACGATTGGTCCGATCGCCAGGAGAACACCGTGGCCATCATCTGGGCATCTTCCTCCCGGATGGCCACGTGTCCTTCCGGGGTGATCCCATCATAGATATCTTGCCATGGTACGGTTTTAGTTGCGATCTTTACTCCGATCTCGTCTTATTGAGCCTCGAGACGCCCTGGGGGTTCCAAAGAACTGGCTTCCGCCCCCAAGAGTAGCAGTCGTACTTCTTTTGCAGGTGTCAATAGGGACTTCGGTAGATCTGTGATATCGCAGTAGTGCTTTTTGTCGTTGTATCGGGCGAGAAGAGGGGAGATTCCTTCGTACAGTTTGAGGGGGTTCCAAAGAATCGACCATCCTCGAAATCTGTAAGAGGGGTTCATCCAAAATCATTGCCTTGGTCCTTTGGATATTCTGACTGGTTAAATGCATCGCTTTTGCGATCGTTCTGGGCGACGGGTAGTAAATGCGCTGTTGTGCTAACTTCAGAATTTCCAGATCATTTTCATCACTACTATCCACATCCTTCGATGATGGCTCATCGTCTGCGGAATCTTCCCAGGTGATCATGCGAAAGGTTCCCGCTATCATCGGCAAAACTCGCGGAACTGCGTTGATGGTAGTACGAAGAGTCAGTATCGCGGAACAGTGATAGCATAGGGTTTTCCTCCTATATTTCAGAGAATGATTGACCGTCGCTCGAAATCCAAGTTCGCTCACAACGCCACAAGAGCAGGAAGGCCGAAAAGAATGTCGTAGGTATTTACGTCGAAATCCATGACGTCTCCTAACGCATGCACCTTTCCTAATCGAAAAGCGACATTGGTCATTCTTCCCACCGTTTTAATCTTTTCTTCGTCTGCCGAAACGAGCTGTTCCTTGTTGGATCGGAGGGGCACGCACCGCGATGGGCCGCATGTTTCTCATCATGGCTTCTAACCGAGCGTTATGCTCTCGCTGCTCCTTTTTGCTTTCATGGATTAAGCTAATTAACTTTTTGGTCAGCTCAAAAATAGGAATACACTGATTCCTCCTTACCGGGTTCTCAATCGGTGGCGGGGCTGTCGTCATTACAGGTGCCGGTATCACAGGAATAGGGACACTCGTGATCACACTCGGGGCGGGTCGTTTGGGGGCTATCTGTTCCAGATAGGTGATCGGGCCAGACACAAATCCCATATTCTTGAACTTGTTCTGCAACGCGGCCAGCTCAGCTCTTGCCCTTGTGAGTTCGGACGAATCCCCTTCCTTAGGATAGTCTTCTCCTTCCTGGAAGTTCGCCGCGAACTTTCGTTCCATCTCCTCTACAGCAGCCATGATCTGTTGCAGCGTGTGATTGATGGGGGGAAACTGCTTTCGCAGCTTCGCCCTTATCATTCGACTGCGAAGCCCATCAATAAACAAATCTCTTCCGAATTGCTCGCCCCGCTCGGTCTTTACAAACATTTAATAAAACCGGTTTTAATATTCTGCGATAGACTCGAGAGGTTTTTGCACCCGGCTCTTGATCATGTACAGTGCTTGCTCTGGATGGATATAATCAAATCGATTCAGAAAATCCCGTTCGAAGGTTGGCAGATCTACCCATACATAGGTACTAAACTAGTGATGAGCGTCTCCTCCTAATCGAGAAGGAATGTTTACCTGAGCTTCGTTATCGTCATAGTGATGTGCACCGAGCGTGGCCAACCAAGCTCCTGCGAGATGATGTGCAGCGTCGAACAGCTAAATATCAGGTGGCGTCATGGGAACCCGTGCTCGTGGGGCGGGTTGATTACGATTTGGTTGATTAACATTCTGCTGCGGATTCGGATTTTGTGCATTAGCGTTCATGTTGGCTGACCATCGATTAGCCGATCTACTTCGGGTGATGACGGAATCGCGTCTATGTGCGTTTCGGGGTCGAGGTCGCCCTCAGTTAGCCAGATCGCCCAATCAACGTGCTATTAATCCTAAGACCCGGCCACGTGTCGGGCTCCGATACCAACCTCACGCCCAGCGGGACTTCCTGATCGGAGTAGGATGTGGGCCTGGAAGTGTGAAAGGGGGTATGCCAAGGATTTTTGGGAAAGTGGGGGTGGAGTCTCAGGTCAAAATTGAGATCTTCTGTGGCAGAGTTTTTCGGAGGCACGAGTGCAGTTTGGCGGAGAGAGCGGACCGCCCTTGGTCATAGAACAGATGGTATGCGCGGGTCATTCAAGGCCTGGCGAGCCATTGGTGCCGAGGACGGCGGTTCGCCGGAAGGTCCCTTCAGGGTGGGTGGAGTAGTGGGTGTGGTCCTGAGTGGGGAAATCCGAGCACCGAGGGTCCCTAGTGGTGACGTAGTGAAACTCCCTAGGACATAGTCGATTCTCTGTTAGGCAAGGGTATCTCTGTCCGAGACTTTCCGCTATCCACAGAGTGAAATAGTCTGGATCGTACAACAATGACTCCGAGCTCTTTGAGTGAGTCATTATGTCTTCGCAGAGTAACGAGATGTCTAAGGGCGGGTTTGTACCGATGGCGGTCACCGCGTGCGAGCACGTGCATGCTGCGCGAATCAAGTCGCGCTTACGCGTGTTCGCACGAGATGACTGCTCCGACGCAGACCTTGGATGGCCGTATCCAATTAGACAGTACTTCTGCAATTGTCGAATCAACGCACGGGGACACGTGTAAAGGCGCAAATCAGGTCGTGATTACACGTGTCTTCGCGCGGCGTTCGCTGGACCAGGCATTTAAATGTCTAATCACTTCATAATTTTCGAGCATGCAAGATGCAACAACCACAACAGCTCCATCAGAGATAGGCAAAACTGAGAACAGGGTTATCGGTTGCACAAAATTCCTATCCTACTCATGAGTGCATCAAAGGCAGTAATCAAAGGCAAAGGCAAGTATCGGGTAGAAAGACAAGCAACCAAACGTGGCATCCATACATCCATTCATTCAACAATACACACACAGTGCATCTGAGATGGAAATCGCAAGACAAGTGTGAGCAAAAACCCAAGTCCAGATTCTGAAAAACAAAGACAGGCAAATCACCCGGAGCCGAAATCAAAATTTATGTACACGAGACAGGAGGGAGAAAAGATAAAAGAAACAACAAATCCACGTCCATCAACCTCAGCTGTCTCTTCCTCCCTCTCTCTCTCTCTCCAATTCGGACAGTCCGTCATCGCGCACCAACCCATGAAGCCGTCACCCTGCTTAGTCCTCCCGCACCCATCAGGTTCGCCCGCGCCCACAGTCCGCCGTGGCCCGCGTCAACCCCGTGCGTTTGGCACCAGGTCGTCGGGTCGCCCGACTTTTGCTCTACTCACCTCTTACTTTGCTCGTGTGCCGACCCTCTGTGATCGCGCAACCCCGAGCTTCCAACAGCTGGTTAAGAGAGCTAACTAATCGCGCAGCTGAAATTTATAGCGTGCATGCATGCGTGAGGAACACGGAATTACCAAGACTTAGAAGGAGAGGTGGGGAGGGATTGCCTACGTCTGCATGGCCAGAACGCGGCGTGGGGGACGTAGCCGCTCTCCACGCATCGATCCGGTCATGCGGACCGCGGCTACCAAAAACACAGCAAAAGAAAGAGGAGAGGGGCGGGAAGGACGAAGCACAAGAAGAAAGATACAGTTACAATGGCGCCAATCCAAAATTACAGTTACACACCCGATTAAAGGCGCCGACTAATCAGAATTCCGTTGCAGCCGCATAAAGAAGCGTGTAAGCAAAAGGCGTCGCGTGGCAAAAGAAAGTCCTAATTACAAAATTCCTAAATTCCTATCTAATGGGAAAAAGCAAAAAGCGCAAGTTTCTGCAAGAAAGTCCGAAATTCCGAGAGCCAACGGGGCTCGACAAGATTCAAAAAAGAATTCGAAGAAGAATTGAAAAAGGAATTTTCAAAAAGAACGACGCAAAAATTCTTGCGCGATACCCGCGCCTAAAGGTTCTGAAACCGAAACAAAAGAAACGACGTCAACATTTACTATTCGCGCGTTCGGCGGCGCGCCATCCATCCACCCGACCAATCAATCGCCCGTCCCGGGACACACCCAGCTCCGAACTCAGCCGTCCAAAAAGAATCGACGCAAAAAGACGAAGAAGCAAGGGTACTGATGCAATTTTCCACCGATCCCAATCTCCCGTAATTGGCCAAACCTTTCCAGCTTAGGACCCCTCATTGCAATCGCGCAGAAAGTCGCGCGCTACCGAAAGTGGTTCGTCACATACCACAGTACTCCTGAAAGTGGCTTTTTTCAGGAGTGCAGCATTGCCACAACGTCTCTCGAAATGATCTCTCAGATTGAATTCAGAAGTTGTCAGACAATGGGAATACCGGCTATACCGGCTATACCCAGCCCCAGGGCAAGCTTACATTTATACCCAAAAAACGGGTGGTGGAAATTGGTTGCATGCCCAGGACAGAGGTGGACCCACGTTGGTACCACAAAATTGCAGTTATAACCAACCACCGGAATGCACAAATTATGGGCATACGCAGGCAAAATTATGGGCACACCCGGGACCTGAGGAGGAGAGGCCAAATTGTTTCTATACCCTGGTAACCCGACTGGCTGAAATTATGCTCATACCTAGGAGCCCTTGGGCCACAACTGTTACGGTCAACTTGGTGGACCCTATGAAACACCCGCGGACGCGTTCGCGGGTCCGATCTCGGATGGCGGACGCAGACAGGTCCGCATCCGCGGCCGACCTGGTCCACGCCGCGGACCCGATTTTACCAGATTTTTCCTGAATTAAATAAAAGCCCAAAAACAAAAACAAACAATAGGGGTTGTAGGCAATTTTAAGCCCTACAACCCCTTTTTGTTTTTTTTGGAATCGGACTTTGTTAAGGATTTTAAGAGAATCAAAAACTAAATTCGATTTAAAGAAAATAAAATAAAAAAAATAAAGAAAAGCTGGATTTTTTTTTTGTCATTTTTTATCATCAGATATATGGTCCTTGAGTTCACCTGTATTTTTTAGAAATGAATTTCTGTTTTTTGCAGGGGTACGAGGTGTTTTAGAAAAATAAAGATGCAAAATTAAAAAATAAATAAACAAAAAACTTGAAAAAAAGAAAGGGTTTGATTGATTGATTGATTGATATTGATGGATTGATTGATTGATTGATTGATTGATTGATTGATTGTGAGTGAGTGAGTGAGTGAGTGTGTGTGTGTGTGTGTGTGTGTGTGTGTGTGA